ATTAGCGTGGATGTAACTGTATTTTTTTTAAAAAAACCTTTTTTTTTTTTTTTCAAATTTTCAGATTGATGCCCAAAAGTGGGATTGCTACATCATACAGTAGCTTTAGGTTCAGTTGTTGATGAAACTCAAGTAGTGTTTTGCAGAATGGCTGTACCAGTTTGAATTCCTAGTCAAGAATTATTTTGTTGTTGTTCTAACACATAATTTTCTTAATTTAAATTTGTAGCAAAATTATATTTCATTTAAAAAAGTGGGCTGGAGTGACAGCACAGCCGTAGGGTGTTTGCCTTACAAGCGGCCAACATGGCCGACCCGAGTTCGATTCCTCCGCCCCTCTCGGAGAGCCCGGCAAGCTACCGAGAGTATCTCGCCCGCACGGCAGAGCCTGGCAAGCTCCCCGTGACGTATTCGATATGCCAGACACAGTAACAACAAAGTCTCCAATGGAGACGTTACTGGGCCCGCTCGAGCAAATTGATGAACAACGGGAGGAACATGACCGTGAAATTTAATTGAATTAATAATTATTAATTTAATTTAATTAATATTAATTAAATTAAATTTAAAATACTAAATTTTCTTAATTTAAAACAACCTTCGTCTCCTTTTCCCCGTTTGAAGAGATCACCAGGTAGTTTATGAATGTCCTATTTTGGGGGTTTTCTTGATTATTTTCTCAGGGAGTCATTTGTTTATTTTTGCCTTTTTTCCCTTTAAAGTACAAATTAGTTCTGGTCGGATTAAGATGAAATACATTTTGTCAAGACTGCCATGTAGGTATTCTCCATGTTTTTCTCCCGAACCACATTGCTTAACATAGTGACCCATCTCAAGATGTGAGATGGCTAGGTGCTCGTGACAGATCTTTCAGTTTAAGGTTGTTGGATTCTTTTGCTACCAGCAGTTCATCTGGAGGGAGAATTAAGTACCACTTGAGTATCAGGTGTGATTTAACCTGTCACATAGTAGTTTTAAGATGTCCAAGGTGTGAAAGGGGATTTTCGAATGCTCGTGTGTTCTTTTCATTTGTTTTTGGGTGCGGGGGGGGGGTTCAGCCGGGGCTTCAGCGCCCTGTGACTCCTGCCCTACCCGTCGGTCCCCATCCTGTGCCTCTCATCCTGTTTGTTTTGATGCCTGTGATGGCTGTCACTCTCCCAAAGAGAAGCTTCCCTGTGAGCTGGGCTATTTATCCTGAAATTTCAGCTACTCCCCATGTGTACTAGATAGTTATTAGTTCTTTCGCTTTACCATTTTCTAAGATGGAGTTAGAGTAAACCACCGATGTTACTGTATGTGGGAACAGCAGGCTTTCCCCCTTTATTTAAATAAAGAAAATCCTTGTGATCACATGAATTTCCTAGAAATCACTTGATCGCTTGATCACTTGACATCCCTTATTCATCGATTTGTTCGAGCGGGTGCCAGTAACGTCTCCATTCATCCCTGTTGCATGCTACTGTAGCCCAATGGCATCTGCTCGTTCTAGGAACATGAAGAGCCTCAAACCGATCATTCATGATCTTGATGAAGAAGTGTGACCATCTTGTAGGTGGGCGGCCACGCGGTCTTTTGACGTCCCGTGGAATCCAGTTGGTAACGGCTCTAGTCCAGCGGTCATCTCCAAATCTCACTACGTGTCCAGCCCATCTGATTTTTGACGCCTTGGCAAACGAGACAGCGTCCCTGATTCTTGATCGTCGATGGATGTCGGAACTACGGATTCTTTCTCTCGTTTGAGTGAAACGTGATACTCCAAGCATAGCTCTTTCGATTCCTCTTTGGGAGACTTGAACAGCATTCTCATCCTGTTTTTGTAGGGCCCAGGTCTCTGAGGCGTATGTGGAGAACAGTGGAATGGAAGAGATGTGCCCGGAGCCGGAGGTTCTTCGTCCTCTTAGCTATTTCTTCGACGTTCTTGAAGGCGTTCCAAGCCGCTCTCTTCCTCCTGCGCAGCTCGGGTGCCAGGTCATTTGTCATGTTGACCTCTCGACCTAGGTACACATAGCTGTTGCGTTTGGAGATGGTCGTTCCGCTGAGAGCGAATGGGGCGTCAGGAACGAGACCGTTTCTCATAAACATTGTCTTTGTGAGATTCAGCTCTAGTTTGACCTTTCCACACTCGTGGTGGAAGTCGGCCAGCGTTTGTGCCACTCATTCCTAGAAATACCATGTGAAAAATCAGCTTTGAACTCAGGTCGTCTCTTTAATGTGTTCCCTTTGTCGCGTGCTTTGCTTGGCTGAGGTGGTTGTGTGGGAGCGAGCCCAGGTCAGCATCTGTTGCCGACCAACAGGCAGGTCAGCGGCTGTCGGAGTCGGGAGTGAGCCCGGGCTCACACTTGGTGAGTGTGTGTTCCTGAGCCTCATCTTGCCTCCTCGTCGCCCACCTTTACTGAGCCCTCAGTAGCAGCCTTTTTCCTCACATATGGTTTCTAATCATGCTTCAGGGACATTAAATTAGCTTATTTGCCTCCTTCGTGACCACCTTTCCTTTTTAATCATTTGTTTGTGGACATTGATCTTTCTGCTCTGTTGTTGAGCTCCCGGCAGGCTTCAGGGTTTTCCTGGCTGTGTGGAGCTGTCATGGCAATCCGTATCTTGGTCTTCCGGGCATTCACTGGATTTGTCTCTGAATTTCTTCCTTCTTAGGAGACAGCCGTCTTTGATGTCAGGACCCAGTCTAAATCAGTCTGACCTCCACTTTATTTAACATCTCCAAAGATCATTACATTCTATGTTATGGAAGGATGTGAATTAGGATAGGAGATTATTCAGTTGTCTCTGTGCCCCTTTCTCTTGGCTAACTAGTGACATCTTTTGACCAATATGGTATCTATGTGTGGGCAAACAGATCTTGCTGGCAAAAGCTGTGAATCTGAATTTCTTTTTTTTTTTTTTTTAATGTGATTTGGTCTTTTTGCCTATAGGGCTGTATAACTTTCATCTTTGAAGTTTAATAATAAAACTGTATTATATCTTAGATTGAGAATTGACTTTCTGGGTAAATGTTCCCATGATTTATATCTAAGGGAGGACATTTTAATTTTAATTTCTCTATCGGGGACATTGGCTTGAGTCATAATGGTAAAGTTTAGTTCTTTATTTTGTTTATTTTGGTGAGACTCAGATATAAATCGACTCTTACCGGCTTCCATATCCGTTATTTTCTGGAACTTTTTAGCCTTGTTTTCACTGAAATTTTTGTTTTTTCCTTTCTTTGCCGTGCTTTTGGACAAGTCCTTTACAAGCCCTTGCATGTCAGAAGATGTAGTGCGAACATGTCAGTGCTTTTGACTCCCCTCCACCCCCGCCCCCCACCCCGTGCCGTTTTCCTTCCCTGTGCTGAGTTGCCATTTCATTTCTTTTGTTCGCCGTCTGTGGAGTACGTGGTCCTGTTTGGGGGTGTTCTTGCTGCTTTACTGTTGAAGTTTTCTTTCTGTTTTTGTGGTTTGCTTTTATTCTCCCGTTTCTGATGACAGAAGTTGGGACGATTCTCAGGACAGTTTCTGTCGTTTAAGGAAGAGATTCTCTTTATTCTTAGGTACCTTTTCTTTTTTGTGTTTATTTTTTTCTTCTGTTTCATGCTGTCTTTCTTTGGTGGGACCCTTTTCTTCAACCCTTTCCTGCCCTTTCCCTCTGTTTCTTGCCTTCCAGATTGTCTCTCTATTGAAGAGATATCCCAAAAGATGTCACGTATCGCGTGGTTTGTTCTTGACGTTACACGTTTGGTTCCTCAAGATCTCCTTTCTCCCTGCTCGTCTCTCACTGCTCTGCTCCTTCATTTCAGCACCACCTTCCATAATTCTCTTTTTAGATGGCGCCTTTTCTTGCTGATGTTCTGTGCCTTCTGCAGCTGCCAAGAGGCCCCACTTGGTTGCACTTGTCCGAACACTGGCTGTTGCAGCCCTTCTCTGGCTGATCTTTGGTGTTTTTCTCCCATCTTTCTCATAAATGCGTATGCTAATAGCTATTCTCTGCGCCTTCTTTCGGCATTAAGAGCTTTGTATTTCTTTCCTTGTTTGCTATTGGTGATTTTTAGAAGTGTGGTAAGGCTCCGTGAGCCTGCCATCGCCCTTGGGGAATGCAGAGACCCATTCCTTTAATTCTTCTGATTTTTTTTTTTTCTGCAGCCAGAATAAGTGGTAATGCAGCTGCTTTCACTGCTAGCCATGGGGGACTGTATTTTATGCCATGGTGAGTGCCTGATAGAGCAACAATCTAATTGGGAAAATTTCGAGCAAGTTTGTTTTCTTGTATGGTTTGGTAGTCAGTGAAGAAAAGTTTCTAATCAGGAAAATATTCCATGCCGTCTCTGGGATCTCTTCACCTCCTTTAAAAAACCCGTTCTTACTTTGAAATTTGGAGCATTTTCTCTTTTCCATCTCTGGTGCAATAGATTTGTAAACCCAACTTACTTGCTGCTTTGACTGTTGCATGTTTGCCAAGCACCTTAGGAGACTGAGTTAACATGCAAGTCGTGGAAACCAGGAGTATATGAAAGAAAGAGGTAGTGTGGTAGAAAGATTGGTCTTAAAAATTTGTATTATTCAAGGTTTATTAGTTACGCTCCTAGCCTGTGTCGGGTTGGGAGCAGCAGGAATGCACCGTTGAGATCGCGGAGCAGCGTGTGGGATGTTTGCAGGGTCTGCTCTGAGGACCCCGCTTGGAGGGAGGCGAGGAAGTAGAGAGTCGAGGGAATCGGACAGCTGCGGTGCCAGGTCACCACTCTCGGAAGGGCTCTCAGGCCGCATGGAAGGTTAACGCTCTGGTCTCCAGCCGGACAGAGTCTCGTACTTCTGAAACAAACATAACCATTTTAATGTGAAAATTAGTCTTGTGCTCTAAAAAAAAAGTTTTCTGTTTCAGAAATCAAGGCAAGTACTTTCGTGGTCAAGAGGATCATTAATGTTTTTTTAAAAAATTGTTATGTCACTGTTAGTGCTTTGAGCTTGGTTTTCCGACGTCCAGTGCTGTTTAACGGCTGTTGTGCTTGCTTTCAGCATGGGCGATGGTCGACGGTGGCTCCAACGTGAAGGCCCGTGCTGCCTACAACGAGAAGACCCCCAGGATCGTTGTGTCTCGCTCGCATTCGGGAATGGTCAAACAGGTTGCTCTGCAGACCTTCGGAAACCAGACCACAATTATTCCAGCTGGCGGTGCTGGTACGTTCCTGCTCCCCCTGATACCTCGCAGACATGTCTAGCGTAGGCAGGACTCGGGCCAGGGAGCACCCCACATTTGGTGGAGAAGGAGGGTGGACAGGTGCGCCGTCCGCTTTGGTTGTCTCCGCGCTTCAGCCTCACGTGCCTTCTGAGAACCAGTATCACAGTAGGGGTACTGCTCCGTAAGTGCTACAGAAGGCATCAGCCCATCAGTGGCATACCGGTAGGGTTCTCTATATTATCTGATTTCACAATAATTGTTTTTAAAATATAACTGTAGCAGCGTCAGGGAAAAGAGTAACAACATTAAGAAGCTCCACATAGTAGATAGAGGGTTGTGGAATCATTTTAATACGTTGTCACTTGTTGGCACCTGTAAATACCTCACTTTGCACGTCTGAGTCCAGCCAGAGACGATGGTCACTCAAGTATATTTTGTTCTCTAGTGGTAAGTATTTTTGACCTGTACACATACAGTACCTGTTGCCTGCTATTTTATTTTTGACCACTCTGTAAAATAAAAATTTAGAAAAACTAGAACTAGGCGCCGGAGAGATAGTACAGTGACTAAGGCACTTACCTGCACTTGGCTGACATGGGTTCCGTCCCAGCACCACGTGGTCTCCCAGTCCCGGCCACTAAATATTCAAGTGAAGCATGTACGCCCTGAGCACTAAAACAGTGTGCTACACCAAAACAATGGGTGGAAGCCATTCCTGGATCCAGCTCGTGGGCTATTTGCCACCTTGTTTTGAAGTCCTAAGACAAGTATTTTAATTCAAATAAATAGCAAATTAGGGTTTAAAAAAATTGAGTTAATTAAAAGTCCTTTTATATAGTTGCAAAGAGAAAAGAAATGCTTAAACATACTCAAATTACAAGTATCTTCCTTTTTTTCCCTTTATTTGTTTTTTGCTTGGGGCTCTCCTCTGATGGTGCTCAGGGACTACTCCTGGCTCTGGTGCTCAGATCTGTCCCAGTGCTCAGGACTGTGTGCTGCTAGTGATAGAACTGACAACCCAGCCTGTAAAGCACTTGCTTAGTCTTTTGCGTTATCTTGTGGCTCTATATCTATTTTTCTTAATATAACTTGCTTATTTTCTCACAGATTCTGTTAGGATGGTCACAAAGTAATGCCAGAATAACCCAGGGAAATGAGAGGACCAGAATCTAGCCCTAGTTTCCTCTGTGTTTATTCTTTTACTCTGTAGATTTTGCCTCATTATAATAATAGTAGTATTTTGAATATTTTTCATTTTTTTCTTTTCACATCTGGCCTTTGTAAATATTCAAGTGAAGCATGTAGGTCTTCAGTTTCAGTGTATTCACATATATTTAGTGTATTCGGTGTATATCATGTAAAATAATAGTTATTAAATGTAGTACTCCATAGAAAACAAATTATAGAAATATTTGATTATACTTGATTGAATAACTTATTTGTGCTATTCTTATGTTCATTTAAATTTTATGTCTGGATAAAAAGTATAGAGAGTCAGCACACCCTTTGCAGTTATTTCTATCAGTGTACCAAAACAGCTCTCTCTCTCTTTTTTTTTTTTACCTTTTTCAATAGTAACCTAAATTCTGTGTTTATTTTTCAGGCTATAAAGTTCTCGCACTCTTGGATGTGCCTGACAAGAGTCAAGAAAAAGCTGACCTATATATCCACGTGACGTATATAAAAAAGTGGGATATATGTGCTGGCAATGCCATATTAAAAGCCCTTGGGGGGCATATGACTACCCTGAGTGGGGAGGAGATCAGTTACACGGGCTCTGACGGCATTGAGGGGGGCCTCCTGGCCAGCATCAGGATGAACCACCAGGCCCTGGTCAGGAAGCTCCCGGACCTGGAGAAGACGGGCCATAAGTGACCGGAGCCTTTGCGGGTCGCAGCGTGCCCAGAGCTCGGTAGTCAGCTCGGAACACTGGCAGGACATGGGCGGCGTCCGTGGCTTGGAGACCGCACGGTTACGCCATTCCCAACGGTTTCAAGTATTTATGAAGCGTCAGAGACTTATTTTCCCTGGAGTCAGAGGCCAGATCAGGGGAAGTGGGTAGCTTCATGCCTCAAGTATTGTCTTTATTTTCGAGACTATTTTCGTACAGTTGTCATTCACAAGGCACACACACACTTGTGAACTGAAATCTCTAGCTAAGTCTTCACTGTTAGGCGTCGCTGTTTTCACATGCATCATGAATCTTCACTCTCAGTCTTCGATATGGAATTGGGCTGAAGAAAGAATTGATTTGCGGAGGTGTTTGATACTGCTTTACAAGGACATCTCATTGAAAACAAAGTAATTGGGGGCTTGTACCCCTAGTTCAGATGGGAAGCACAAGAAGCCACAGATTCATTTAATCTTCAACAAATGATCTCTGTCTATGACTGAATATTTCTTAAAGTCGAAAAATCTTACGTTGGTTTTTTCTTTGAAATTTTAATAACAGGTTCACCAGCTAGTAGATAATTTAGATGCATAGTGGTAGCACTGTACTTGTAATTTCTGTGTGTGCGCTTTGTTTTGTTTATAAAGGAGAGTGTTTCTTACCCATGCGTTCATTTCCTCCATCTTGCTGTTGGTTTTCCTGCTCTCGGGACAGTGCATGGTTCCGTACTTTCCCTCTTGACCAACGTTTAGTCTTTAACTTGTTACAGTTTGGACTAAGGATTCAGGGTTAGCACTAGGATTTTGGTACATTTTCTTAGGGATAGAATAAGTTATAAGGCAATTATAGGAAAATTAATGATTCTACTGTTGAAAGTTACTTGACATTACATGTATTGAGCTAGACTTTATTAAATAAAAACTTTTTGATTTCATACTTAAAAAAATCGCCAGGTTTGTACATAGAGATACTCTCATTATCAAGAATGAGTTATGGTTGGTTTTACCATTAATAAATGGATACGATCTAACCAAACTCTTAAGTAGTGACTTTGGAGATGCTTTATATTTTCCCTTCATATTAAAATAGTGAAGGTTGAAGTTGCTTTCTGATGAAATTGTTTTCTACTCAGTACATTGGGTTGGAAGAAAGATGATAGCAGTCTCACTGTAGCATCTTCACTGTAATTACAACCTTGCTTTCTGAACTATACCTTTCCTTGGGTTGTCTGACTTTGCACAATGATATCTGGAAACTTCATGTAAAAATTACCGTTATTTCATGTGACCTTGGTGTTTTTGTATCTTGCTAACATACTGTTGAGGAGAGAAATTTCTCATGATTTCTTCAATTTTTTTTTAACCCTAAAACAACTTTTTGTTTATTTTTACTTTTACTATTTTGTAGGTATAATTGACCAAAGAATGGATGTTTTCAACCTGTTGGAATGTGAAAAAAAAATTACTATAGGTTTGCATTCTATTAAGTAATTGACTTCATTAAGGAATTGACTCTAGTATGATATATGGATTTCCACCCCAGTTGCAAACGGGCCCTAATCTGATAGGGTAATTGGGCTTCAGAAAGTAGTCTTTGGCTTAGTGACAATTCATTCAAGATTAGTCGGTGCACTTGGTATTTCAGTAGACCTTGGAATTTTGAATAGTATGGTAGCGACGTCCTCTGCAACAAAATGAAGAGGTTCACTTCTCTTAGGAAAAACATGGTGCAAAGGCTTATGCTGTTTCCAGAACCCTGTGTTACAAGCATCACAAGCATTTGTTTCACTACAATGTATCAGACGTAGGAAAAAATTTAACTGGTACTGTTTTCGTTATTGAAACTTTCTGATTTAATAGAAATGAATCATATTAGCAAGCATTAATGCCTTGTTTTTATTTTTATCTGCATGTGGATAATAATCCTGTGAAGGATTTGTTTTGCGCAAAGGTTAAGATATTAACTGACAGTTAAATGCATTATTTTTATAATTGTTGGGTATGGTCTAGTTGCTAATGAATTTAAGTTGTGTGTGTGTGTGTGTGTGTGTGTGTGTGTGTGTGTGAGGGGGGAGGTTGCGGGAAGAGATTTGGAGCTCATGAGCTCACAGTGTAAGGCTTGTACAATTGAGCAACATCCCTAACTTCCGAGTGCTTCTACAGAAAGTTCACTTAATATTTTTTTTTTGTTTCTAGAAGTCAATATGCATTACAGAACTAATATCAGTGCAAAGAGCAGTCTGTTTATTTACGTGAGACAATTTCCAGAACATACAGTAAAATGTTGACATGTATTTTTTTATGTAATTCTCCCAGAATTACATAAAATAAAATTATTTCTAAAGTGTAACAAAATCACAGTTTACTCTTGGCGACCCCCCCCCCCCCCCCCCGCAGTTCCCACTCTTTTCTTGCCCTCGTCTGTGCTCTTATTTCGAGAGTAACAGTCCTTCAGATTGATTTTTACGCATCATGTTGAATAAAAGGATTGGCACTAGTACGTAGCACCCATAAGCTATTCCTTTCCTTGCTCCCCTTGAATGCTAAGTTTCGTATACCCAGTTAATTTTTTTTCCCTTTCCTCTCTGCTTCTCTTAACCAGAATAATTAAGAATTCTGAACACTTAGCCCTGAATTCACTCCTAGACCTGTTTCAGATTTAACTGCCGAAATCTTACGATAGAACTGATAACCTCAGAAAGTTCCCAGTGGATAAGGTCAGTTTGGGCAGAATCCTACTTTGCCATTATGTTTATAAACATCTTCAAAAGGTGAAGGAAAATCACTTTAAAAACTGTGCACTATCAACTCTGTTTCAAAACACAGACATTTCCTCTGATCCATGCAGAAAATATAAGAGAATTTGGTACATTACCCTACTAGAGAAAAAAACTGCTTTCTGTATTGTTTTTCAGAACCATTATCCCTCTTTCAGCTGAGACTACAGGGTCCTTCACCTTGGGCCATACAGGTCCTTGGTCTGCAGTTGTGCCCTTCCCAAGTTATGTGTGTTTTTTCCCCTATTTAAAATCAATAACCAACCACATGGTTGACAGCTATATGATGAACAAAAAAAGACGTTTTGGGTTTTGCGTTTTAAGTTAGAGGCCATGTATTTTTCTTGTTTTCTGGACGTGCGGTTTGGAAATGGTCCAAATTGGATTGGTGGAAGTGGTGGCGGTTTTGGATCAGAAGAAGTGATGCCAAGTTTCTAAGAACTCTGGGAAGGAGCATCAAGGGGGGTAGCAGAGGGAGAGTGCAAGCAGCCGCCGTCACCGCTGCCTCCAGAAATGGGACCCTGTGTCAGAGACTGAGTTCCCAAGTCGGATTCCCTTAGGCTTTGCAGGTAAGGACCACGGCCACCTGCTCAAGTGAGGAACTGGAGGACCCGGCGCGCGTCTCCGTGGTAATGTCTTGCTTGTAAAGGCCTGGTAGAGAGAAGCTTCAGTAGGTGCAAAGCCATCTTATGTGAGCTGTAACTACTTAATGTTGATGTGTAACAATTGGTCCAGGATAGAAACAGTGTTTTGTTTATCTTAGATTAAGACATTCGATTATTTTCGGTATTTGCCTACAGCAAAGCTTGTCATGAAATTGTTGTATCAATTACACCTACTGTATGGTTTTACTTAGATCCTAAAAAATGTTGTGCCTTAATGATAGGGCATTGTGTGTCAATAAGGGAAAACAAAAATCATTTTTTAATAGGGCAAATAGAAACTTTTGCCATGAGAATTTAAGTTCTTTTAATGTTTTTAATATTAGAGGTGGGAAAAATTCATTACAGTTAAATAAAATTGATAAAAGTTATTTTTGCATAATCTAGCATATACAACTAAAGTGCATTTTTATAAGAACTGGCATCCTGATGTATATAGGTCTGAGATGATATTTTATCCTTTGACTTTTAATTTAAATTAATATATGACCAGGGTAGAGTACATTAAAATTTTTACATTCATGTCATTTTAGTCTTCTATCATATCTGAATCATTCTTTTTAAATTCACAGTTCATATCAATAATTTATTAATGTTTAAAAAGAGTGTGAGTTTTGTGACATAACAAACTAGAACAGTTCTTAGGGGACAGCAGATTCTGACTAGCAGTTACTGCGAGGGCAAGAAAAGTGGAATTTTTAGCTAAAAAGAGGACTTTGATTTTATGAGATGCTGGTTATATAAGTTGCTGGTTTCATCAAAGCCTGACAAATGTTTGCATTCCAGTTTACCATTGATAAAGTCTTACAAGAATTTTTTTTAAAATTTTTTTAAAGTAAAAAGTTTGGCGATAAATTGATTCTGTGAGAAAGTGAGATTTATAAGTAGTTTCCTTTTGAGATCAGATAAGTCATACTCCCAGAAGTTAAGGATGATGAATAATATTAAAACAATTTGTTACACATTGTGTTTGTAAGGGTTTCCTAAAGTATTTAACAATTTGTCTAATTGCAAAAGCAGAAATTGTGATGTTTGATTTAGTATGTTCCATTAACATTCTTCCTTGAGGTGTATACCTAGTAAATTTTTACTCATGAAAGAGTTGTCCATCACGTTTTTGTTTTGTTTTTGAAGACGTAACATCATTCAAGTCACCATTACATCTGTTTTTCTACAGATCTCTCCCTTCTCCCCAGATGATCTCTTCTGACTTTGCCACATGTTAGGGAGGCGAGTCGAGGGCCTGCTCTGTGTGAGTTGCTGTCCACCCCTCCCGTCCCACTGACGGGCCAGTGCTGGAGCCGTGGTCTCGGTGCGGGCACCCAGTCTCTCCACGTGTGCGTGTACCCATGCACAGGTACTCAGCATGGTCTCCGCATCAGCTAGGAAATACTACTGATCCCCCTTTCCCTTGGAGAAACCAAGTCAGGTCAGCTCTGCTTTCTTTGCTTGGCCTGCTGTTCACAGTAAGCCATCTTCCAGAGGGGAGAGGGGAGCAGGCCGCTCACAGGGAAAGGGTGGGACAGTTGGTCAGCCGCCTTCAGGTCACCTGGACGAGCCGGAAGGAGGAAGAGACTGGAGAGGCTTCCTCCAGGGGGGGCGCAGCTGGCTGGTGGGTGCTGAGGGAGAGGAGGGGTGCAGGCAGGGAGTGGCCTTGGAGTGATGGGGGCCCTGCGCCCATACTGCTGAGACCCCCTGTATAACTGTGACCCCGAGTGCAGGCAGCTGACGGGTGATAGGGCAGGGGTCTGAGCCCAATACAACAGCATTTCACTACCAAAGGTTGCACTTACCATTTTCTTTAAGTGCACTCAGAACTTTTCGTTTTCCTTTTTTCTTTTTTTTGGGGGGGTGGTGGTGGATGGGGGGGGAGTGGTCATTCCCGGCAGTGCAAAGGGTTTAACTCCTGGCTCTCCACTCGGGAATCACTCCTGGTGGTGGAGTACATGGGATGCTGGGGGTCGAACTCAGTTCAGCTGCGTGCAAGGCAAATGCCCTACCTGCTGTGCTATAGTTCCAGCTCCTCAGAACTTTTCAAGAATAGACCTTTCAAAGATAAACTTTAGCATAAAACAAGTAATAAATTTATGAAGACTGGATTTTTTTTTCAGGTCACAGTGCTGTATATAATTCAACTACAAAGAGAAAATTGGAAAAATTCCAAACATGTGGAAACGAAACAGTATGGTTCTCAGCAAACATTGGGCAATTTAGGAAATTGTAATTAAAAAATTCCTGAAGAGGCTTGCTCTGATTCTGGCCCATGTTCTCCTGTGAACACGTATCTCTCTTGCTCATCCCCATGTTTCTTTGCTTATTTCCATTCTGGAGAAGCCTGTGTTCTCTCTTGAACATGTACTTCTCCTTTTCTCTCCCATCACATCTTTCTAAATATGTTTCAAGAAAAACATTTTTGCTGCACATACAAAAAAAATGAAGATGAAAATAAAATGAAAACACAATCAGAAGCTATGAAATGCAGCAAAAGTAGAATAAAAAGGGAAACTGGTAGAGGTACAAACCTTCATAGAGAATAAGAAAGCACCGTAGTACCATCCTCCCATTGTTCATCGATTGCTCGAGCGGGCACCAGTAACGTCTCCATTGTGAGACTTGTTACTGTTTTTGTACTCCTCGAATACACCACGAGGAGCTTGCCAGGCTCTGCCATATGGGCGGGATACTCTCGGTAGCTTGCCAGGTTCTCCAAGAGGGATGGAGGAATCAAACCTGGGTCCACCACATGCAAGGCAAACGCCCTACCTGCTGTGCTATCACTCCAGCCCAGAGAATAAGAAAATATTACAAATTAATAGTTATTAAACAACTGGAAAGAACAAAATTCAAAGTAGAGAAAAATATATACAACCTTTTGGCAGGTTGAATATCTTTTAGATTTACAAAACTGAAATGAAATAACCTGAAATTATCAGTCACAATAATGGAAAGTGAAGCAGTAATTTATAAAATTCTTCCCAAACAGAATTTTAGGACTAGATGGCTTTATCAATGAATATTTATTTTTCATTCTTTTTCAAAGTTAAAACAGTTTTATTTACTCATTTTTAAATACCGTTGTGTTTCCAGGCTATGTTTGAAAAGTTTGGGAATAGTATTAGTGAATTTTAGCAAATCTTGATATTCTTTTTAGGTATTTCTGAACATTTTATAAAGCCTACACTACATAGAAACCAAAGATATCATTATTAAGTAAAACTAGAGACCAGTATCTCTGATGTATAGACATGCAACTATCCTCAAGTACCAGCAAATTAAAGAAGGCCTCAGAAATACATCATGATCAAGAATTTATTACAGATGAGTAAGGGTAATTCAATGTATACAAATCAAATTAATATAATAGGTAAAACAAAATTATGGTGATGTCAACAGATCCGAAGAGAATATTTGAGGGTCAGAGCGACACCATGGGGTGTCGCAGG